CCTTATTAAAAGTTCCAGAAAAATAAATAAATCAATAAAGTAAACTCAGCCTTTGAGTCTAACCATGTTCAACAGTTATTTCACCAAAATACATTCGGACACAACTACATGAGCTCCTGATCCTCTAAAGTTCAGTCTGAGTGGGACCTGGACAGGGAATCCTGGCGAACAAGCAGATGGAAATGGGTATCAGTATAATGTGGGAAGCATTGCTCTACTACAAAGAAGAAAGCTCATCCCTCGAAAACTCACTCCAGAGTCCTGGAACCAGGAGAGAAGTCTGAGGAACCAACCAGCAATGCGCACACAGGCAATTATGTGGAGAACTATTATGCCTATATCAGAATTTAATACAGCTGATAATGAAGCTACAGGAAATGGTGGAAGGTCTACGTAAGAATTGGCAGACTGTGATAAGAGAACTTTGGTGTAACACCCCCAAGACAGAGTAATCTCCAGAGTCCTTGTCTACGGACGCAGCCCTAAAGAGGACCTGGTAAAACTCCCCAACAAACACGCCATCTTTCTCTTCGATTGCATTTTGGCAGCAACAATAAAATGATGACTGAAAGTGGCAGAGGAAAAACATGGTAATAACTGTGGCTAACACGTGTGCAGCGTTGGGGACGTGACAGACGAACGGGTGACCTGGGAATGCCAGGGAACGGCTTTACTGGAATTCAGTCTGATGCTGCATCTTGATTATCGAGTTGATGGGACTGAGAAGCAGTGGGTCTGATGAATGCTTTAACCCAGGGATAGATTCAAATTTCGAATAGATTATTGGAAGGTTCTGGAATGGTGGAAGGCGGTCTCAGATGGAAGAAGTAGATTACATAAGGGGTTTCTTTCTTTGGGGGCAACAGCTTGTCCTGACCACTTCCTGCTGATTCCATTGTGCTTCCTGTTTGCCATGAGACACGAGCAGCTCAGGCACCCCGTGGATGGAGCCTCTGAACCTGAACTGGTCCGATGATGGAGAGAGAAAGGGCTGGCCAGTGCACTTGGGAGAAGCCGTGCTTTGCCCAAACTGGCAAAACCAAGCAGTATGTCTTTCTGCTTCCCAGGAGCAACACAAACAAAGGACACCACCTGGCTGGCAACTTAGTCTGCTTGCAACAGACCAGAAATATGGGGGAGGGGCAGCCACAGGAAGCTACTGGTCCTCCAGAGTGTTCATCATTCCGGAATCTCACAGGAAAATACACATGCATCCTTAAAAAATCTATTCATTGTGTGTTTTGCACAATTAAGCACACATAGTGATGTAATGACCTCTGGTTCCTACATAAACCACAGTTTTACTTTATTATTGTGGGATGGTGATGGGCACAGAAAAAAAGGAAATGCTTCCTTCCGTCCTGGTCCTGGGACTGTCAGATACAGCGCCAGGCTCATTTGTTTCTCTTTAATCATCTCTTTCCCTCCAATCTATTTCTTACCGTGAAGGTAAAGATCACTTGCTTACCGGAAACCCTCCACTATCAAAGCTTTTTTTCTATTGCTTTTAGCTTTTTTTTTTCTTACCTGTTAAAGACAATTGTTTCTTTTCTTGTCTTCATTTAGCTTATCAGTATCTGTTCTTTGGTGTTTGTCTTAAAACCATGTCTTGCTGTGTAACTCAGACTGGCCTTGAACTCACCCCGCATCTTAGACTGAGTCTCCTCCAGGTGATGGGCAGCGTGGCATCAGATCCTATCTGTTCACAGAGTAAAGGCTTAGATGAATTTAGGTCAAACGTGCCCGGTGTGCTGTAGCCTTCAATGTGATCCGAGGTGGGTTCATCCTGCTTCAAGCCTCCCGTGGACTGGGACTGCAGGTGTGTGCCACCATGCCTGGCTAGCACTAGCCTCACAGAGGATCTTACGCATCAGCTCGCATTGGATACCACTCCTTCCTTACCTAACCTTGCTGAATCTTGAGAGCAAAAGGTTTCCTGTCTCCTAGGTCTAGACAGCAGATGTTTTGGATGGAAATTAATCTTTGTGTTGCATGTACCTGAATGAGACCTGGAGGAAGGGGAGTCCTGAACCCTATCTTATGGCCACTGTTTCTTCTGGAGGTGACTGTGGCCACACAAAAGATAATCATTCTAGAATGTTCTAGTCCTAGAGCACTTATATCAAGTTCTGGAACTCAACTTCTTCTAGTGTCGGAAGCATCGGATCCCCTGACAAATTACCTTTTCACCCAAAATGCCCAGAGTGATCTCCATATATTGTCCTGACTGACACTCCGGATCTCATGAGTCACAGAGCTATCAGTACTGGCAATCAGGGGTTACATTGCACACAGCATGCTTGAAATAACTTGGTCTCCACTGCCACTCTGAATAGACAGGACCCACACTCCTCTCTCCATCATACAGAAAAGAAAGCTGAGTCTCAGGGGAGACAAGTGAGTTATCCAAGGCATTTAGTTGGTAAGAGAGATAGACAAAATTCAAATCCACACCTTCCTTTGATATTAGAAAGTCTCCAGAGCTGAAAATAATGGGATGCAAAAACACATGAACATTGGCACAGAATTAAAGCCTGATTTACTAGCATGTGTATGCATGTGTGTATGTATGCGTGTATGTGCATATGTGTTTGTGTGTATAGTATGCTGTACATGTATGTGCTGCATGCACATGAGTGCATGTGTGTATACTTCTGTGAGCACACATGTGAAAGACAGAGGACCTTGGGAATCATCTTCTACCATTTTATGCCTGCTTGTCTTGAGGTAGGGCCTCTTATTGAAGCAGAAACTCACTGATTTAGCTAGGTTGGCTGCCAATGACTCCTGGGATCCAACTCTCCCCAGCCCCCCTCCGTATAGGAGCACAGGCTCAACAGACAGATCCAGCACTTTCACAATACCCCATGCAGGAGTGTAGGGACAGTAGACAGGCCCAGCTCTTACACCACCCCCACGCAGGAGTATAGGCACTGCAGACATGACCAGCTTTTATCCAGACAATGGCCATTTGAACTCATGTCCCCATGCCTAGAGTGCAAACACTCTTTATCACTGAGTCAGCTACCCAGACAACACTTCCTCATTTCTTTTTGTTTAATGTATATGACTGTTTGTTGGCATGTATGTATTGTGCTACAAGCATGCCTGGTGCGCCAGGATGTCAGAAGGGGAGTCGGATCCACTGGAACTGGAGTCACAGATGTTGTGAGCTGCCACGCAAGCATAAGCCCAGGTCCTCTCCAAGAGCAACAAGAGCTCCCCATCTCTTTAGCCCCCCCCCATTTCCTAGTTGTTGGGTTTTTCTACTTTAAACAGCACAGCAGACCTTCCAAACCATTCAGTTACCTAACACACCGAAGGGCGATCCAATAAATACAGGATGTTTCTTTTTTGTTGTTGATTTATTAATTTTTGATTAGCATAACAAAGTCATAGGCTTCACTGTGACACTTTCATACATTTAGTTCATTATACTTTGTTCTGACTTGTACCCCAGCCTGCTCCATCTTCCCTCCTTCCCCCTCTCTGGTCCTCTCCATCTCTCAAACATGTCTTCCCTCTGTGTTCATGTCACATGTATCCCATCATCCTCTGCTTTTCCCTTTCCCTCTTCCTCTAGTCCTTCCTCCCTCTCATGCTCTCACTTCCACTTACATGTCCTACACACACACACAAACATACACACATATGTACACAAACACCCATGTGCACATACAAACACACACCTACATGCACATGTACACATATGTACACATACAAAATACCACAAACACACATATATACACACATATGTATGCACAAACACGCACAAATATATGTACACACAAATACATACACCTACATACACACATATGTACACATGCATACATACACACACATACATGCATGTTTTGATTCTGCATGAGAGAAAACATGTGATATCCACTTTCTGAATTTGTTTTATTTCAGTTAACATAATGGTTTCCAGTTCTGTCCACTTTCTTATAAATGTCCTGATTCTGTTTTTCTTTAAAACTACATATTTTTTCTTTGTGTCTATGTACCACATCCTCTTTATCTGTTCCTCTGCTAGGGGACATCTAGGTTGGCTCTGCGTCATGGTCAGCATGGGCAGAGGTGCAGGTATCCCTGTGGAAAGCTGACTTAGGACCCTCAGGTATATTCCCAGCAGTGCAGGCTCGCCTTGTAGAGCCTGTCTCTCTGGATTCCATGTGACAAATTGATAAGATTGTCTTCTCTGCGAATGAGCTTGTGATCTATTCATAACAGAACTACTCAGAAACCTAGTCCTGCTTTCTAAGGCTGAACATGAGTCCTCCACATGCAGTCATCTGGCCAAACTGAAGTCACCCAGAAGACTTGAGAAGACTAAAATTAATTTCTCAAATTCTCCCTAATGGCTGTTTCACCAAAGACCTCCCCCCACCAACACCAAGGGTTCTTTAAAATAAAAAACTGTCTTTGTCAAACTAGTTAGTAAAAATCATCTCACTGTAATGTTCAGGAAAGCAAGCAGGGAAACACTAAGTAAACAAAGATTGCTTTAGACCATTTCAAAAGTGCTCAGACTGAATTCTTTCTCTCAGTACCCACCACTCCTCCACTTCAGAGCAAGAATGTAGCCAAAGGGTTAGCACTCGAGAGTTCGGAGAAGATGTATGGTCCCCATTGCCCAGTGCAGCATCAATCCTAAGTAAACAGTCTTATCTCAAATCCTCGTGATCCTCCCACAGCCGACCTCAGCACACTAGAGAACCCCAGCACTCCCTGACCACTGTTTGCCACAGCTTCTTGTGTCCAAACTCTAAATGGCAAGGAAAACTGCAGCTCTAGGAAGTCCTTCCTCTTAACGTCTTACTTCCACCCGTGCGTCAAAGCAGAAAACATAAAAAGATGTGAGAAAAAAAAATGTGCACGATTAAGATGAGAAGAGAGCAGATGAAGAACAGCAGGCCCAGTGGGTCAGCAGACCCCGTAAAGCCTTCCTTTAGGGAGAAATGTAAGGAGCTGCACCACACTGCAATGGGTCCACTCACCTGGGGGAAGAGGGAAAAGGTGGAGTTGTCAATGGTGAATGAGTATAGGAACTCCCCATCATACCACAGGCTCTTCCCCATGGGGGAGTTCATCTTCGTCATAGCAAAGAGATGGGCCGGATCGCAACAGTCTTCCATTTGCTTCCTAGGAGAGAGAAAAGGACAGCGGGTTAAGTGAGCAGCCGACTGACTCCTGCATTTGCCATTCCCACAAGAACGTGCAGCCTCAGCCCAGGGCCAAATCACTCCGCAGTGTCTCCACGGTGATCATGCGATGATTAACTCACACTGCCAGGCACTGAACGGCATGACTGTAATATTTCACTTACAAAATGTTTCAGAAAAATATGCCAGCTCCCAGGTGTGGCTGAAATATGTCTAGAGGCAAAAATATGCATGATCCTTGGAGATGCGCTAACTGGTCCAGCCATCCGGATCCTATAAAGACTCCAGAGATCTATAAAGAGCTTGCTCTGGAGGATGACGGGCTACCTAGCGGCAGCAGAAACACACCTGTGGCTTGTTTCCAGCTCTCAGGTAGTCAAGAGTGCAGAGAGTTGCTCTGAGTGTGAAACAGAGTAGGCCAAAGAGGGCACATGCGCCCCCCCCCAAACTGAGGAAAGAAAGAATTACAGGGAATTCTTTAGCAGGCCCTCTGAATGGAAGCAGGCACTAAATGAATGGTGTAGTATCAGAAGATAGTGAGGTAACCTGCCTTCTGGCTGCCAGGGACTGACTTGGTTGAACACTGTGACCTTTGCCTCAATCTCACTTTTCCCCCTCCATGTTTGAAATACTGGCCTCGCATGGGATTGCCTGGCCCCGACAAACTGCCTCATAGATGACTGCCTTGTTGGCTCTTCAGTACTGGACATGGACATGTTACTGGTCTATGGGTCAGTTGATCAACCACAGAGCTTTAACGAGTAAAGGAGCCGGCATTTAGGAAGACCAATTGCAGGCATGATGGCATACCTTGATTGTCAACATGATGGCACAGAGAAACACCCAGGAAATTACTGAAGCACATTTTTGGGTATATTCATGAGTTGTTAGAGAAGATTAACTAAAATATAGGTGATCCTATTATAGATGGAATTTTTTTCCCACCTTGACCCACAACCATTCAGTCCCAAATAAACACACAGAGGCTTATATTAATTACAACTGTTTGGCCTATTGCTCAGGCTTATTACTAACTAGCTTTTTCAACTTAAACTAACCCATGATTCTTATCTATGTTTAGTCACATGGGTTGGTAACTTTTCTCAGTAAGGCATTCTTGTCTTGCTTCCTCTGTGTCTGACTGGTGACTGCATCTCTGCCTTTCCTCTTCCCAGAATTCTCCTAGTCTGGCTGCCCTGGCTATACTTCCTGCCTGGCTACTGGCCAATCAGCATTTTATTAAATCAATATGAGTGACAAATCTGTACAGTGTACAAGAACGTTATCCAGCATCCTATTCCATAAACAAGGAGTCTGAGTGGAACGAATTAGTTCTGTCTGGCTTCCATGAGGGGAACTGTTCAGCTCCACCATGACTCCTTGCTGTATGGCAGTTTTTTCCATGTTGAAGAGAAGAAGGGGAAGGCTCAAGGGATAAACAAAGGTCACCCATCTGGGAAAACAAACACTTGGAATATTCTGGAGGGCCCCTCCTCAGCAGTATTAAAAAGGAGTTAACAACTGCTCAAGAAGAGCCACACTTCTCTACTGGGCTGTTCCTTACTGGTCAACAGGCATGATCTTACTCTGTTTACTACCCAGCTTCCAGTGCCTGACACCCACCCTGTGTTGGTGATGAACACTTTCATAGGTCACACAGAATGAGCACCTGTACACCTGTTCCTGCTTTGGATCAAAGGTCAATGCATCTGAATACAAATTTTAACCTTCTTTTACTAGGAGGGCACGGCAGGACCCTGTTGTGTAACCATTTCCTCTGAAACCAAAACATTCCATCTTGCAGGGATGCTCCTCAAAAAGGAAGGTGAGCAACTCAAAGCAGTCCCAGGAAGTCCCTGAAACTGACCAGGTTCACTAGGTCCTTGACTCCCAGAGTTAGCAATAAAGCTACTGAGAGTCACTCTGAGACAAGCCGAGTTGCCTGGAAGAAGCAGAAACCACCCTGGCTGCCTGAAAAAGGTTTAGATCAACTACATCATTGGAAAGGACACTCTCCAGCCTGGTGAACTATCTGCAGACAGTGTGTCTCAGGTTTCCAGCTCTTGTGAACTGTCACTCATGCTGGGGTGGCCTTTGGTGGTGCAACTGTCTTTGAGTCATTTCTGCTCCTGTATGTAACCTTCACCCATACTCCTTTAAGCAACCCTAATAAAGCTCATGATCCACTAAGTTGGACTTTGATGGTATCTGTATGTTGATCTATCATGGACTTCCTAGCTGGGGTGAGCTGTGTCTCCCTGGGAAAGGTTCTGTCACACGGCAGGGCCTCATTTCTTGTGCTGCCTCTCTTCTCCCCAAGATTAAGCCTCATTAGGATAGCATTCCTAGTGGATACTTGACTTCTCCCTTATATTGAACGAAAGAGCCCAAGTCAGAGTGGGTGGCACTGAAGATTGCTAGCAGGCCCCGAGGACCAGCCTAGGTCATGGGGTCTATGCTTGGGTGATGAAGGCCACTGTCACAGGAGGGAGTTCAGATCACTTGGCTTTTCTGCTCCTGCTCTCTCTGCCATGTAGAGCTGCCCCACGTGTGGTCCTCTGCCACGTCATGGCACGGCAGGAAGGCCCACACTAGAGACGGCCCTTGACACTGGACTTCCAGCCTAAGGGACTGACATTTTTTCTTCTTCCAGAAGAGAATTTCCTACAAATTCCCTGTCATGTGACATTGTGCCATCCTAGTAGAATGTGAACTAAGATACTGGGTATGACCATTGTTGTTTCATGGCCCAGCCTTGCTAATGACATGATGCTCATGGCCAGGGAGGTCGGGGGATTGTAGGCCTGGCAGCCTGTTCAGCCCATGGGCCTCTGAGCTCATTACACCGTGCTAGGTGTCCATCCTGCTCTTGGATCTTGGCTGGGTTCCTCTTCACAGGTTTCAGTGAGAAAAGGACGGGGGGTGGGCAGCTAAGGACAAAAGCCTTTGTTCTGTCGAAGGGTTTTAGTGTCACATTTTGCTGCTACACCAACATTTTATTTCTCATAGACTGTTCCTCCCTTTCCTTTCTCATCTACTTCATCATCGTCGTCACTATTATCATCATCATTATCATCATTGAGACAGGGTCTTGGTATGTCTGCCAGGCCAGTCTCAAACTCAACACCCTCTCAACTACTGAATGCTGGGATCAGGAATGCTCACCACTATACTCAGCTCACCATTGAATTCTTACTAGTGCTTCTCTACCATGCGGTAGTATGACTGAGAGTGGTTGTGTTGTATCATGAGCTGTCCTTACATTTTGTCCAAAGAGCACCCTCAACACAGTATTTTAACCACATGACTTACACGGTTTAAGATAATCTCTTAAAATAGGCAGAAGTCACATGAACATACATCTAAATGTTGGTGAGAATGCACTGATGTTTGGATTCCCTGCTACAGGTCTGGCGATATCTCTCTTTTGTCTTCAGAACAGCTCTAAGAAATCATGAAAGAATTACTGTTATTCTCATTATGCTTAATTTACATCTATAGAAATGAGGCTTCAAGACTTGCCTAAGGTACAGGAGGAAACACACATTCAGATCTGTGAGTCTAAGTTTGGGCCGTTTCCTCTCTGTCTGCCGAGTTCTCAGAACCATATTGGCCCACTTCTCTTTTCTCTATTGAAGGATCTTTAGCACAAATGGGCTCAGTGCCTGCCATGTAGCACAGGCCCTCAGGACAGAATATCCATCCAGATCCCATCATACCATGGAGCTGGGCAGCTTTGAGACACTTTTCCCACAGTTTGTCTCAGATCACATACACAGTACCATGGTGGTGCATGACTTCACCCTCAAGCCTTTCCACCTCTCATGAGGTCCTTCCTTCCAGACTGAGGTTCTCCCCTCTAAACTCCACTAATTCATGATTCAATCTAAAGTGCCATGAAGAACACGGAAGAAAAACTTGGCAAGGTTGAACGAAAGCACCGTCTTCCGGCTGGGGCCTGACAGCTAACAAATCACGTTCATATTTGTTTCCTCTCTGAATCATAAAAAGAAAAAAAAACACAGAGGAAAAAGATCCAGGCAGTCACATTTTCCTGAATGCACAGACAATGAAAGTGGTGTGTGAGCCAGGAGTTACACAGGTTTGTCAGACGGATGAATGATTTCTCTGGTATTAATAGCATGTGTGCTGGGAGCCATGGAGCAATTTTGCCTCTCTTCCTCCGTCATCACTGGACTGGGGCAATTATTCCTTTACTGAGAGAAAGCAGAATTAGACAGAAAGTAGGTATTCCTTGTGGACAAGTATTTCCAGAAATCCTACATGTCCAGCAAACTCAGACTGGTCCTTCTGCTCCCTGCAGTGCAGAGTTTTCTACATGCCTTTCCAATGTTCTTCTCTCCCCACAATTCTTCCACATCCTCCTGTTGTGCTGCCCTGTGGAGGTGTTAGGGGACCACAGTGAGAAGAGGTCCATGCCCATTCTTCAGGCCTGAGGGGCCTAAACTAGCTCACCAGCTACGGAGGCCACAGCATCAAAAGCAGCAGTTGAACCAGGTGTAATCTGCAAATCCAGCACTTGGGGGACTGAGGCAGGAGAATAGAAATTTTAAGGTCAGCCTGAACTACATAAAAATAAAACACAAATCACTAATATTAGGGGTATCAGCAGTAATACTCATAACATTTTTTTTTCATTCTTAGGCAACATTGTGATAAGCCCTTGGGATGTAAAAATAGATTTAAAAAATGATAAAGCCAGACCTGCCTCCAGAAAACATAAGAAGAGGGCAAGCCAGCTTAAGGCAACAAGCATAAAAATAAACTAATGGAACCATGTCAAATTTCAGAGCTCTGCACAACAAAGGAACAAGCAAGAAAATGGAAAAGCAACTTAGAGAGAGAGAGAGAGAGAGAGAGAGAGAGAGAGAGAGAGAGAGAATGAGCCAAGCACAAGCCTGGTAAGCTTTATAAGGAATTCACCCAGCTCAAAATCAGTAAAGCCAACAATCTCAGAGG